AATAAATAAATAAATTATCTTGTACCAATGGGATAGTAAGATCTTTGAGGATTTAGATGGCATAATTCTTTTTTGTATTTCTACCACACCATATACAATGGAGGGGCCGAAGGAAGAAGTAACATTAAAGTAACACTTTTACCAGGCATTTTATGTATATTATCTAGCATTAAAGACAGTATTTAATCCCCTTTTTATATATGTGAAACTATGATTCGAAAGCTTTCATACTTGCTAAAAGTACCTAGCTAGAGAGTGATGGAATCCATATTCATGCTCAAATTTTTCTAGCTCCAAAGCCTCTGCTGTTTATACAAGGAAATTTGTTCAGTAAATATTGGCATATTAATTAGCTGTCATTATCATGAATGTGGAAACCAGATATGTATCATTTAAGACAATTAACTTCTCTAAGCTTCAGTTTCTTTAGTGGTAAAATAGGAATCAAAATAGCACCTGCTTCATAGGGTTGATGTGAGAGTCAAATGAGGTAATGGTACATGTTAAGCATCTTACACAGAATCTGGTTTGCAGAAAGTACTTAATTTGTAGCTGCTATTGCTTACTATTCTGTTGTTTTCTCGTTTTCCTTCAATTTCATCTATGGTTCTTCCAGCACATTCATTTGTTATTTCAAGACATTTTTTTTGAACACTTACATATGTCAAACATGGTAATGGGCCATACAGTTTCATCATGAACAAGGTAGACTCAATCCCTGTCTACAGAGAGTTTACCTACCTAGCAAGAAAGTTAGATGATTAAGTAAATAGTCCTAACAAGGCCTAAATGAGCATTATAATGGGGAAGATATGGAGCATTGTGGGAATTCTAGGGGTCAGGGAAGTCCCCCTGAAAAAGTAATATTTAAGTGGACACCTGAAGGATGAAACATAGCCAAGAGAGGAAAAGGAAAGAATGAAGAGTATTTTACACAAAGGAAATAGCTTGTGGGAAGACAAGTAGCAAAAAGCAACTATATTCTACGAAATGAAAGGCATTCAGCATTCTGAAGCAATGGAAAAATTGGAAGAGGTGAAGGTAGAAACTGGTGCCAGATCATGTGGAATGCCTTTGAACCATGTAAATGAGAATATACTTTGTCCCGAGGGAGTAAGAGGCCTTCAGCAGTTTCGGTGTGGCTGTTGTCATTCATTTGTCCAACCACAGAGGTACTCACATGAGCCAGGTAGGATCCTTCATAGTTTCTATTCTCCTAGCCACAGCAATGAGCATGTGACTCAAATCTAGCTGATATAAGTCTGCCCTTAAGACTTTTCTAATGAGACAGTGGTAGCTTTCCTACTCTGAGAGAACTGTTGAGATGTGAGTCCAGAGTTCCTGATGGCAATGCTTTTTCTGTACAGAGAAAGCCTCTGTGTGGTTAGCCTCTCTGCAGAAGGACAAAGAGTGAATATTATAGTCCCTCCATCCATTGTCCCACGTATAGCCCTGTGCTGTGTTGGTTTGCTTGGTGAGAAATTGTCCCTACTTGTTCAAGTTTTAAGTAGAAGTATGACACATTCAGATTATCATTTTTTATTTTCCAAAGATTTCTTAGGCTACATTGTGGTCAGCAAATTGGATGATGTCAAGAGTAAAAGCCGGGAGAACAGTTAGGAGTCTGTGAAGATGTGATACTATTAATAGATTTTACTAGGAATTGGGGCAGAAATGGAAATAAGGCAGATTCCAGAGAAACGTTAGCAATATAGTTTATACAATGTGATGACTGTTTGGATGGTGTTGGCAGAGTGAGTAAGAGGTACTGGAGAGGGGGAGGAGTCAAAGATGATTCCTCTTGTTTCTGGATTTGGCCACTGATACCTTGTAAACAACAGAAGTTTGTTTCTCATGGTTCTAAAGGCTGGAAAATCCAAGTACTACCCACTCTATGAGGAAACCACATGAATTCCTAGCATAGTCTTCCATTTTGGTTCATATCATACTGCACAGCAGATCCTCAAATAATGTCATTTTATTTAACGTCATTTTGTTATAATGTTGATGATGGAAAAAAAAATCGGTTCCCATTCAAGACCCCTGTCTATGTGGAGTTTGCCTGTTCTCCCCTGTCTGTAGGAGGTTTTTTCAAATACTCCAGCTTCCTCCCACATACTAAAGATATATATGTTAGGATAATTGACATGGCTAAATTGTCCCAGTCTGAGTGAGTGTGAGTGTGTATGTGTGAACCCACCCTGCAGTGGAATGGTGTCCTATCCAGGGTTGGTTTCCACCTCATACCCTGAGCTTTTGGGATAGGCTTCAGCCACCCACAACCCTGAACTGGGATAAGCAGGTTGGAAAATGAATGAATGAATACAAATAATTGTATAATAAAATAAAGTGTAATACAAATGAGGACAGTAAACAATGCATTACAAAAGCACTCAGGGAGCTCATGATATTTGGTTTTTGAACTGCATGGTGGTAGGATGTGCTCCTTACAATTTTGCTTTGAAAACCTTCCTTGATTTAACCCACCACCACTGTGACAGCCATCACTCACTGATTCACCAAAAATTCGGTAAACAATTATCTTACTTGTTTTTATTAATCTTTCTCAGGTGTATGCATAGCTCACATTTATTTCAGTGTTTACTATTAGAAGTGTTTTAGGTCTTTATTTAGAAGTTTGGTGATGTTTTTGTGACCAGAAATATTTCATAGGAACTTGACTCTTACTTATATCGATTTGCCTGTGGTAAAATTGATTTTGTTATATGTTGTTTCACCTACAGCCACAATTTCCAAGAGCCTATCAATGACATTAAGTGAGGACTTACTGTTTCTAGATAGCACTTTTTCAGGTGTGTTGTGTGAGATTAGGACACTCATGTAGTTTCAGCATTGGTATTTTCTTTGTAATTTCTATTTGTCTTTTTTGCTTTGAGTTTGGGGAATGAACTTCCAGTATACCCATACCTATGAAGCTGTTTTCCTAGATGTCTACTTTTCTCATTTTTATTGAATGTTTAAAGATGAGTCTTTTCTCCTAAGTCATAAATAACTTGATTTTAGAATTTTAGAATAACTTGATTTTATACTTTAAACTGACAACTGATTATGTTTTCTTAAATGACTTGACAGGTTGGAATTCGAGGTACCAACATAGTTGTGCTTGGGGTAGAAAAAAAATCTGTTGCGAAGCTTCAGGATGAAAGAACTGTAAGGAAGATTTGTGCCCTTGATGACCACGTCTGCATGGCTTTCGCAGGTACTTACGGACCTGCAATAATGATGCATAGTATCTTAGTGTGGTAGGGCAACACAATTGGCCTTACTGCTGCAGTTGTGCTGTAGTTATACTTCATTTCTTACTAAAAGCAGTATGTACCCTATTTTTTTTAAAGGAAAATCTCAAATTTATAAACTAGGATTTCTGATAATGAGCTTTGATAAAGCATAAATGTTAAAAGATATATATTACATTACCTTACTTAAAACTTTAGGTAGCTGTTTTCTTTTAAAACTTTTTATTTGAAATAATTATAGATTCAGAAGTTACCAAAAACACAGGGAAGTCTGATTTTACCAAGTTTCCCTTAATGGTAACATCCTCAAAACCAGTAAATTGACATTCACACAGCCCAAAGAGTTTATTCAAATTTTACCAGTTTTACATGCATTCATGCATGTGTATGTGCATGTGTTTGGTTTTATTTCATTTATCTTATGTGCAGATTCATGTAGCCATCACTACAGTCAAGATATACAACTCTCCCATCATGACAAGGTTACCTCATACTATTCCTTCTTCCCATCTTTAATCTCTGGAAACCACTATCTATTCTCTGTGTCTATAACATTTTGAGAATGTTATATGGATAAAGTCATATGATATATAACCTTTTGAGAATGGCCTTTTTTATTCAGCATACCTGAATTGCATTGTTTCATGTATCAACAGTCTATTTTTTTAATTGCTGAGTAGTATTCCATGTTATGAATGCACCACAGTTTGTTAACTCTCTCACTGAAGGACATTTGGGTTATTTCCAGTTTTTGACTATTACAGATAAAGCTTTTGTGAACTTCTGTGTATAAGTTTTTGTGTGAACATAGGATTTCCTTTCTACGGGATAAATTTCTAAGAGTGCAATTGCTAGATTGTATGGTAATCCATACTTAGTTTTATGAAACCCTGCCAAATTTTATTCCAGAGTGGCTATGCTATTTTAAATTCCATGTAGAAATGTGTGAACACTTCATTTTCTCTGCATCATCAGCAGAATTTGGTGTTGTTACTATTTTTTATTTTACATATTCTTATAGGTATGTAGTGATATCTAATTGTGGGTATAATTTATATTTTCCTCCTGGCTAGTGATGTTGAACACATTTTCAGGTGCTTATTTGCATCTGTACAGTGAATAAAACATGTCTTAGGTCATTGTTTCTTCATTTTCTAATTGCATTTTGTTAAAGTAGAATTTTATATTGTAGCTTAAAAGCCTCAATCAAGCCAATGCAATGGTACATGACTGTAGTCCCAGCTAATCAGGAGGCTGAGGCGAGAGGATCACCTGAGCCCAGGAGTTTGAGTCCAATCTGGTCGACATATCCAAGATCTCACTTCTTAAAAAACAAAAATAACAAAGAACCGAAAAACCTCATTCAGGACAAAATAGCCTTTGTCCTACTATCTTAAAAAAGGAATGATCTTGCCATAAAATAGGCCTTAATAAATTTTAAAAGATTGAAATCATAAAAAATATATTTTCTCATCAAAATGGACTGGAACTAGAAATCAGTAGCAGAAAGAAAACTTAAAAACCAACAAACATGTAGAAATTAAACAGTATACTCCTAAATTACACACAGATCAGTAAAAAAAACCACAAGGGACATTAACAAATATCTTGAGAGAAATAAAAAATAATATATCAAAACTTATGAAGTGTATTGAAAGTAGTACTTAGAGGAAAATTTATAGCTGTAAACACATTAAAAAAGAAAAATCTCAGTTCAACAACTTAATGTTATACCTTAAAACTATAAAAAGAAGCATAAACTAAATGTAAAGCTAGTAGAAGCAATAAAATAAAAAAGCAAAGTAAAAAAAAAATAAAGCAATAAAGTAAGCATAGATAAATGACAGAGAATGGAAAAATGATAGAGAAAATTAACAAAACCAAGTTCTTTGAAAAGACCAACAAAATTGACAAACCTTTAGCTAGTTTGACTAAGAAAAAAAGAAAAGATTCAATTAAAATGAGAATGGAAAAGGGGACATTAATACCAATAAAAAGAATTTAAGAGAGTACTATAAATAATTGTGCCCCAACAAAATGCCTTGAAACACAAAAATTACCTTAATTAGATACAGAAAATCTGAACAAACATAATAAAATATTGAATCAGTTATCAAAAACATCCCAACAAAGAAAAGTCCAGGACCTAATGGCTTCACTGGTGAATTCTACAAAATGTTTTAAAGAAGAATTAATACTAGTCTGTCTCAAACTCTTCCAGATAATTGAGGAGGAGTGAACACTTCCAAACTGATTCCATGAAACCAACATTATCATGATGCCAAAACCAGGCAAAGACACCACAGAAAAAGAAAACTATATACCAATATCCCTTATGAGCAGTGATGTAAAAATCCTCACCAATACTAGAAAACTAAATTCAGAATATTAAAAGTGTCACACATTATGATCAACTGGAATTTATTCCTAGAATGCAAGAATGGTTCAACATATGAAGATCAATCAATATAATATACAACAATAACAGAATGAAAGAAAAAATGGTGTGGTTATATCAATTGATACGGAACAATGCATTTGACAAAATTTAACACTCTTTCTTGGTAATGACACCCAACAACCTAAAAATAGAAGAAAGTTACCTCAACATAATTAAGGCCATATGTGAAAAACTCACAGCCAACTTTATACTCAGTGGTGAAAGACTGAAACCTTTTCCTTTAGAATCAGGAAGAAGATAAGGATGCCCACTTTTACCAGCACTGTTCAACATAGTAATGTGTGGGGAGTTAGCTATGCTTCCAGCAAAAAATTGGGTCCCTTAGGCAGGGGTCGTCGCAAAGAATAAAGAAATAACAGAAAACAGAAAATAATAGAATATAGAAATAACAGAATACACAGAGACGAAGATACAGTTTTATAGATATAGATTTATAAAGGGAGGGCTTGGGAGACCCCACAGTATTTCCGTGAACTGTGAAGCCACGAGTGAAGTTTCACATGGGTATTTATAGGTACAGAGATCGGTTGCCAGGGGTAACAGGTTTACATAATAACAGGTAGTTGGTCTTAGGTTAGAAGTCTCCCAAAAGGCTTCTATAGATCCCTTAATTTATCTACATGAACAAATGGTTACAAAATCTTTCAAAGACAAACTTCTAAGTTCTAAGATAAAGCTATCACTTAACAGAAGAGTTAAACAGAAATATAGTGGCTCCATATTTCTTTATCTAGTTATTGTGGATGGAGACAGGTAGTCAGGTGTCAAGCAGGAACTGTCCCTTGGGCTAATTGCTTTTAGCCACAGGTGTCTGTCTCTCGGGCAGACACTCTTTGATCAGTTCTCATCCCGTGGCTCCATCCAAACCTGCTTTCTTGTTCAAAGCAGGCAAAAATCACAGGTTTGAGACTGCAGCATCACCTTGGAAAGCAGCTGTCACTGACCTTTGAGATGCCCTCCTGGGGTGAGACAGCTTTTGATATGCAAACTAACACGTTTACATATTCCTTCACGGTAAAGCCCTACAAAACTCCTGAAATCATTTCTCTCTCTAATATTATAGGGGGCATCTCCATAAATCAATATTTCTATGGAGCAACAGTAATGAAAGTCTTAGAGCAGTTAGACCACAAAAAGAAATAAAAGGCATATAAATTGGGAAGGAAGAAAAATTTTCTCTGTTAACATATAACATGATCTTAAATATAGAAAACTAAAGATTGCACAAAAAATTGTTAGAGATAATAAACAAGTTGAGCAAAGTTGTAGGATACAAACAATACCCAGAAACTAGTTATATTTTTTATACACTAACAATGAAAAATCAACCAGAAAAAGGAATTAAGAAAAACAATTCTTTTTACAATAATATTAATGGCCAGTAAGCACAAATGATGGTGAAAATATGATCAACATCACTGATTGTGGAGGCTAAAGCAACTCCATCTTGGATGTTAATTGGCCGTGTTGACTTATGATTCACGCCAGTTCCAGGAATGCCTCTAAGATTTCTACTTATACTTGCTTGCTTTAAATCCTGCCCTTAGGTCCACACAGCCTTGATGTTGTTATAAACAAGTACTTACCATGAATCGTGCCTTTAGGCAAAGTCTTGCCTCCCCAAGTGGTCAATCAGTTGTCCTACACATTACTTCCCTTTGGTATGTAAGCCCTGGGTCTGGCATGTAGCAGGGCGGGTATCCACCATCTCTCCACCAACTAGGACATGGCTTCTGTTTGTAAGTCCTTATTAAATGTTTCTTTCTGAGAAAATTGATTTGTCAGCCTCTTTCTTTGGCCTCTCAGCTTCCTTGGCCTTTGGGGGTCAGTTTGCATAGACCTCACCATGGAACACTAATAATTAGGGAAATGCAAACCAAAATTACGGTGATGGCTGGGCATAGTGGCTCACACCTGTAATACTAGCACTCTGGGCGGCCAAGGCAGGAGGATTGCTTGAGCTCAGGAGTTCAAGACCAGCCTGAGCAAGAGCAAGACCCCGTTTCTACCAAAATTGAAAAAATTAGCTGCGGGTGGTGGCACCCACCTGTGGTCCCAGCTACTCGGGAGGCTGAGACCGGAGGATTGCTTGAGCCCAGGAGTTGGAGGTTGTACTGAGCTATAATGACACCAATGTACTCTAGCCCAGGCAACAAAGTGAGACTGTCTCAAAAACAAACAAACAAAAAAACACTACAATGATATACCACTTTATACTTATTAGTATGGCTATTATCAAACAAAATCCAAAAAATACCAAGTGTTGGCAAAGGTGTGGACAAGTTAGAATCCTCTTGCACTATTGATGAGAATGTAAAATGGTATAGTCACTGTGGAAAGAAGTATGACTACTCCTCAAAAAAATTAAACAGAATTATCATATAATCTAGCAGTCTATTTCCTATATATCAAAAGAATTGAAAATAGAGACTTTAACAGATATTGGTATACCTACATTCATAGCAGCATTATTTGTAATAGCCAAAAGGTAGAAGCAACCCA